GTAGTAAAAAGATTCCCCACCTCTGTCCTATACGTTACGAATGCTCCATCAAGTTGATTGACGAAGAGATGAACGGTCGTAGAGGAACGAAGCCTGTAATTAGGCAAAGTGTCGAACGCGTTGTACAATTCATCGAGAAACGAGTCTCATTTTTATGTGGGTTAAAGGCATCGAAAGACACGGTTCAGTTTTATGACATCGGTCGCGAATGAAACGTTTGCCAAAAGCGATTTTCACGTCACGCGTCCGTGTATATACGTTGAACACATTTTAGTCTATTAAACTCTATCCGGGAAGAGTGTTAAACTTGCGGAGGAATATTTGCCAGCTTAGAATATAAAGTATTTTCTGTTTTCCTCTCACTAATTGCTGGAAAGTGTTTAACTGGTAGGAATTATTTAAACACATTTAGATGTAACAGTTTCTTTTATTATTTCTTTGTCGCACATACTTTCATCGCGAGGATATAAAAATATTCGTTTACACTGTTTGTACGTATTTTAGAAAACCTATTGGCACACTTGGAGCCCCACATATTTCTATGGCGTTTTGGCGATTCATTTAAGTACACTCTATTAAATATAAAACTCTTTATGCTTGATTACGTTTGTTCGCTCGTCCATTCAGTTTCTATTTCATTAAAACTATGCTCTAGTACGTTTATTTTATTAAAACTACGCTCTAATGCTTCTATTTTATTAGAACTATGCTCTAATGCTTCTATTTTGTTAAAACTCCCCTTTAGTACGTTCGGAATTAAAATGTGACGCGAGTTTCATCGAGCTGGCACTATTACCTCCGTTATCGGGGTTCTCAAATAAATTACTGTTAGCGCCCAACCATTCATCTATAGTTGACCTGTACTTCATAATCCATATCATGTTTGTTGTCGCATCTACCGTGGCATGTATCAGCTGATGCATCAGTTGTCTTTCCATGAAAAATGCATTCAGCTGAAATTAAACAAACAATTCTATACATTTCGATTTCAATTTCAAAATTCTTCATTAATGACAAAGCGACGGGTGTTTAGGTTCTGCTTCTATCATCGCAAGAATCACTTGTACAGTATAATCGAAGGATATAGTGAGGTCATAAAACTTGTTAGGTGACTGAAATCGGCATCCCTTTAAAGGGGTAGACATCGAAGCGGCATGACGAGGCAGAATGTCAATCTTAACCACAAAATTGACCAAAATAATAAACACTATATTATTAATTTTAAAGATGAAACGTTGTACAAATTGCTGTATCAATTATTGCATCAATTAGATTCTAAACTGTAATTACTTGGCCATGACCTCGCAATATCTGTGCCTCCAACTGTACCATGCAGTTCTACAGGGTGATCTGCCTAGGTCATGGACCTAAAGGACGTAACATCGTCGCGGAAAGCCGTGATGAAATACGTAAGGGGGTTGCAAATCATGAACGCATGCGCTTCCCTTCCCATGCAGCAAATTGCTGATCATATTGTGGTGCACCCATGGATCTAAAGAACGTAGCGTGAGGTAGGGTTTTAGATGAGGGTGGGCGTGATTCAAGAGGCTGAGGGGGGAATATGGAGGAGAACAAATTGTTAGTCAGACTTTAGCGTCATCTATAACATTCTGCAGGCTATTTTGAATCTGTTGCACAGCTTCACGCATACCCATTGTTCTATCTATAATACGTATCTTCAACTGTAGTATGCACTGAAAATAGTTAAAACTTATAGGGTGCACCACAATATGAGCAGCAATTTGCTGCATGCGGAGGGCAACGCATGTGTTCATGGTCTGCAATCCCTTACGTATTTCGTCATGCCTTACCGTGACAGTGCTCCGTCCTTTAGGTCCATAGCCTAAATGTAGCCAAATAAATATCTCCTTTATTTGGGACGACAGAAACACTATTTTTCATGCATTGTAAATAGTATCAAAATATGAACGCTTTTCAAAATTTTGCTTCTCTGAATTTTGGACGTCACTAATATGATTATCGGTAATTGTTTCCAAGGTTAAAACAGTAGGCTTACGTCATGGCGAAAAGTCAGTGATATCGGTGAAAATGATGTTTATATTTAATTTGAAAATTCAAATTTTGTGAATCAAAGATCAATTTAATGTCCTATCACTAATACGTTTGAACGTGTTTCAATGTCAACTATAATAGAAGAAAAAAGTATAGAAGAAACGAAAATCAGTGACGTTAAAAACTTTGAACAAAGTAATGTTTAGAAAAGAAAATCCTGTAACATTTATGTTTTGTTAGCATTTATATAGCATAAGAAACGTTTTTCCTATCATTGCAAATGAATGAAATATTGCGATGTCCACACTTATATATATATAGGCAGACTACCATAACGCATGAAACAAGAGGATATGTAATGAAATCTGTTTTTAGAAAGATTGGCTATGTAATCGAACTTACTTCAAAATGCTGCTCTTGAGTCGTAACTGCACCACCAATTATTGAAGCGACGTCTTCTATGACGGATTCGAAATTCGCTCTGAAATCACGAAGTGAAAAAATTACGACAGTTATATTAGATACAGATTCACACTCTCATGTCGTGACCATCGTTTTTTATTTTTCTTTTAAGGTTGTATGAATACTTAAGTAAAGATGGCGACATAGCATTTAGATTTTAACAATTATTAAATATTACATCAATAGGACTCTGCGAAATTTTAGAAATTTTACGAGGCTATTATAAAAGTTGTCACATCCTGAGTTCTTACGTTGAATGGAAAAATTTTGATTTCATTCATGAAAAAATACAGGTACAACAATGAGAGAATATTGTGATTTTGTACAATTGTTAATACATGTTTTGAGAATAATTTAAACTTGAAATTCGAGGAAATTATTTAAGATGTATCATAAAAAATAAGCAAGAGTAGAAATTGTAGGATTTATAGACAACGTAAACAATTCCAAGTCAAGTACAATTGTATCAAAAAGTGCCAAAACCATATGTTATACGTAAAAAGTTGATTGAATTAAAAAAAAATACGTCAACAATTTTGTGAACCTTTCTAAAAGTTTATCGGTTCACATATTGGACATAGCTTCTTATTACGTTTCTTAAACTTTTGAAGATCTTACGATTCACACAAGCTTAAGTAAACGTAACAATGACCACGGTGAAAAGAAAGAAAGGTACGAAGTTGGTTACATTTGCCTGATGCGTTTGTTTTCTTTGAACAGGAACTTCAAAACAAGTTCGGCACCAGCCGGATATTTGGACACCACGTTTTTCACGCCGGTCTTGAAATCAATCGGGTAGCTTGGCTCGAGAGTTGAGTTTAAGTATGTCATCAGAATCTCAGAGGAATTGGAACAGGCTAGGGCCATCAGTAGATCCTTTTTATCGTCCTCATCGAGCTTAGATGTAATTATGTACTCCAGAGTATCAGTCCACTCGCTCTCGCTCGCCTTCCTGACCCCAGCGCAAAGAATTTCCGTCTTCAGATTAACGTCCAATCTGTGCACAAGATTATAAGACGTTGAGAAGTAGATTATAAGAAGTTAAGAATTTGTTGATAAAAGGCATTTATCACAAGATATGAATACTACATTAATTGCCTGCCACATCATTGTCTCTAGACTGCGGATTTTATACATCTATGAGAAAATTGAATATAAAACACAAACTAAATGCATAGAAATATACGAAATACTAAATGCAAAATGCATTCCGCAAAAGATTAAAAGAGTTCTATTTGAAACACATTTCTAGAAATAGTTTATTTTGCTCAAAAAGCCACAGTTTACATATTACACTTGCACGCCAAAATAGGAAATTCAAGAACTATATAGTTTTGTAATTATGTCAATGTGTTCTTATTGGGTTTAGTGGAATAGAACTGCATTGCTATATTTAATTGAAAAAAAACTACAGAAAATAGTGACAGAATTTTGAAACATTATGCAGTGTAATTAATTATATTAGAAATATATTATAATATATTTCATCGAGAATAATGAACACTCAGAAGATAATAAAAAAATATTGTTATAAATTTACAATTGAAACATGGAAAAGCTCTGGAACAATTGACAATGAGACACAATAACAGCACAAATTCTCTTCACATATTGGATTACCTTTGAATATTTTTCAAATAAAGAAATCGTAGTTAAACGACTTTAACGATTATTAAAAATCCTTTTAATTCTGTATATTAAAGTAAGTTCTAATGAAAGCAGTTGCTGTTTAAAATGCATTTTCAAACTGATACTCTAGTTTATTCCGCCGTCGCGGTTAAACCTATCCTAATCATCCTGTAGATAAAGGGTGTATGGAGAACCAGAACTCATGGTACATCTTTTAATAGGAGGTTCCTGAAGTTATTTTAAACAACATTCTATTATTACCACGCCTCGGACAATATTTTCGCAAAGGAAAATGTTGTTTAAAATCATTTCAGGAATCTCCCATTAAAAAATGTACCATGAGTTCTGGGACACTCTGTAGAAGAAAGGGCATACGAATTGTTATCAATTAAGAGAACAGAATGTCGACTTACTTCATCTCAGGATTTTTGAGCCATTGTTGATATGTTTTCTCAGCATAGGATGTGCACTTCTCGACGCCAGCTTCGCAGGCCCATCTCATTGCTTCTACTCTGAGCATTTTTACGAGATCGGTATCATTCGCCTTCGGTTCATAACCCACGTCGTTTGTCAAAGCCCTCAACAAGTATGCCACGTAACGCTGCAAATTTCAGGATTTTATACATGCTAGAGTTGTTATTGTATTTCATGATCAACAATTAACAACTAAGGTTTCTTTCTCAAATCTTAACTGAACATTATGTAACTAAAAATTCCAATTGTTAATTGGTGAACTTATAATCAATAATTAAAGTCCAATTTCTAATTCAAATGATGATATAATCAGAAATATGATATATCAGAATATGATTTAATCAGAATCTGCCGATATTTAGTAATGTGAGCTTTATAAAATGGATGAAAAATCATAATTATAATGGTTTTATTTAATTATTTTTCAACCTCCTTAAACCCGTCTCTTCCAGTTCAACAATACACCTGTATAATAAGTAGGCTGCGAATGTTTACGCATTCTCCTATGTTTTACAAATAAAAGTACAGAATCGAAATGAATATAAACATTCGTTTTTTCTTTTAAATATTATAAATTGTATTTTAATTCCAATATTTAATATTTCCTTATAAATTACTGCATTCTGCAGTAAATTATTCAAAATGCCTATAAATGTATAAACAACCGCAATCTAATGATAAGTTACTCTCACGAAGGCTTTGCATTTATCAAAGAAGCACATTAAATATTATTTGGCATCTTCGACTTTGTATTTGCAGTTCTTACCGTGAAAGTGTAATATTTGTCGGAGGTGCGTAACAAATTCCGCAGGTAGCCCAAGTGCTTGAATGCCGGTTGCCAGGGCATGAAATCGGTCTCCTGCGTTAAGTAGAGGGTCACGTTTAAAGCGACCGTATAATTCAAATTGCCAGTATGAGCTAAGCTAAAGGCGTCATCCACTATCTGCGCACGATTCAGCACGTGTATTTTAGTATCGCTTCCCTTGTTCAGTTCTTTCATCAACAATTGCCAATTTTCTACATCATAGAGCACACGATAGTAACCTGACACAGAATACAAAATTTCGTTAATTATATCTGCTATTTTCTGCTGTTCGGAAATAACGATTTCTTCTATGAAAAGAATTGTTGACTTATCTTATGTATGAATCAGTGAGCACTTGAGAATAGTAAAAATAAGCGCAGATGTATTCGTTATACAGGGTGTAAACCTACTAGTGGGCAATATTTT